AGATTATTTTGAGACACTATAAGAGGGATGAAGAGTCAGAGTTCAAATAATATTGTTTCAATAAACAAAGACCGGAGAGTTTTCTTTCTTAAAGAGTTCCCCTTTGATGTCACTTCCTGTTTCACTTTGGCTGAGCCAAGCTCAAAAGAAAATATGCCAGTTATGGGACAAAATGGGTTAAATCGTGTGAATTATTCCAACTTTCTTAAACATAAAGATGTTTTCTTTGACTTTTTGCATTTGAAGGATATGCATGTCACAGACAGTTTAAGCTTAAGTTCAACCAGGTTGATCAAAGCAGCCCCGTCTCCCCAGGGTCATTATAAATCCTGCATCCATCACTGGGGAATCAAACCCCTGGAATATAAACCCAAACATGGTCATCTGATGCATGATGGGAGCTCGTCAGCGCTCASAACAGGCCCAGCAAGCTCAGCTAAGAATCCCAACCTTTCCTTTCAAACTTTAACTACAAACACATGAAACATGAGTTTATAACATTTCTTCCTATGGATATAATGAAACTGAACTGTAGTTTCACTGTTTGAAATCATGGGTCTAACTTTACAGCAAACTGCCACACATCAAGGTAAATAAAACTCATAAAGAGGCATTAATTAAAACTATATTAMAATAATAAAGTCTAGCTTTCCATTAATTTGGGGAAAAAATATTCTGCTTATGAATTTCGATTTCAGACTAATTTTCGATTTGATGCCATCCAACAGCTCAATCTGAACATATTCAGCAAGTAAGCACTTTATCATCACACTCTGCTGCTCTCTCTCTCACACTCACACAGTCTGTATATTTCATTTATACTGTCACTTTTCTTTCGAGGCRAGATAAATTTTCAGTTCACAAAAAAAAAGAAAAAAGATCACAACAAATAATACTAAGAGCATAGGTTTTAAAAATATAAAACAGCAGTAAGGTTCTTGTCGCCCAGATGCATTTAAAAATCCTGAATTTGTAATTGAACWGAATATTTGCCACTTTTTCAAATACAGCAGATACAGTTTGCACAAYGAGTCAAGCCTCTCGTGAATGGAATACGTAAAAAGAAAGTAGCTTATGTTTTAGACATGAATGTAACCTGTCTGCACACAGTCACTGACTGATCATAAGTTAAGGAGAAGTGGAAAGCAGTCGCTCTTGTCCATTTTTTTGTCACTTGGGGTCCTCGATGGTCCCCGTGCTGAGGTCAGTCATTTTAGGATATTTCACTTTCTTCTGGTCCAGCTCGTTCTGAGCCCACAGCAATAACTTCAGRAGTTTAGCCAGTTTAGGGGTGGATTCCCGGTTTTCATAGTCCAGCACGGCCTGGTTCACCTCGCTCCACACCTGTGCAACATTATATGGACAACAGTAAAACTGAAATTAATACATTCGTTACTAAACTGTTGATCATCTGCACTGTCTGGGTTCTTTAAGCTTACAAGCTGCCTCMCAGACAGAACAATTAAATACTAGACTCCCCCAAACATCCCCAATAATTAAATAACCCTCATCAATAACACAACACCTGCAGATCTCACATGTACACCTATCAGCCTTAGTGTTATGAAAAGCTGTCTTTCTGAAATCACCTGTTCACTTATTTAAAGGAACAATGTGTAATATCCAGTGCCATCTGGTGGTCGAGATTCCTTATTGCAACTAACTAAAAAACCCACCCCTGACCAAGATGGATCTCTACGGTGGCTATCAGGGCTCATAAATCTTTGATCCTCCTGAACACAATGTCTACTAGATGCTTTACAAATAGTGATATTTCAAGTGGTAAGATTAGTTTCATGAAAAATGTAGGAAACATAATATGTAAAATTATCAAAAGGTGCATACGCCAGTTTGTCTATAAACAAAATCAAACGTTTTTTTTAAATTTGCTAGCCTTTTGTTCGTTCTTACTAACATTATGGTGCAAAATGGCGGCCTCAACTGATGGCAACTCGAGCCCAAGTAGATATGAACAACTTATTCTAAAGGTAAGGACAATACAACGACTTCTTAGTTTTTAATGATTAGATGTGTTTTTAATTATTTTTATTAGTTATCTTAGATCCTGTTATAAGAGACGCCTAAATCAGGGTTCCTACATCTTAAGACAAGTTAAATTTAAGACCTATTTAATAC